AAGTTCTCATTGCAAAAACCTTCAAGGTATTTTGATTTTACTTATACTGGGCATGATTCTAAGGCAAAAAAACCCACAAAACCAAACGGTAACATCTCTTTACTGCTCAGTTTGCTAATACTCAAAATTCCTTTTACTTTACACCCTTAATTTTACAGTTGTGATTTTTCTGGTTCTTTAGGTAAAGATAAATGCATCTTATGTTAAATTTAATGGAATGCTATGCAGCTAAGAATGACAATTCATACTGTCCATCTAGACCCTGGTAAAATAAACCTGGGTATTAAAGTCTGACAAACAATGTAATGTGCTGAACCCTGTAGTTTCTTGAGATATCAAATCTAAATGAAGAACTGTCTTCTGTAGGTTTCCTCAAACGTGTTAAAGGCATTCAAAATTCCAAAGAGAATTGCAACAGCATGTCAGATCTGACTGTGCCTGTAAGCCTCTGTATGTTGCATTATCTCAGTTTTTGTAAACCCATTGGGTAGCATGGGGAACACTCTCAGCAGGATGCTATCTGCTTATACTGCTGATAGCCATGAACACTGCATGCATTTGTGGAAGTTTAAATACTTAATTTTAGAAACACAGCATTCTGAGCAAATCTACTTATTTATTTATTTATTTACCTGCCTGGGATTTAGTAATTTTTCATTAGATTAAAAAACAGTGAAATTAATGTAGTAATTTAGTATAATGATAATGTTTAAGCCCTGGAGTTGCTTCATAAGCCTGATCCAATACTCTAAGCCGATCATGGGAACAGTGACTTTACTGAAGTCTTTGAGAGATTCATGGACCACCATAGAGCTGGCACTATCTTTTCCAACACATGCTTAGATATTAATTTATCAGAAGAGGACAGCAATTTTTATCTGCCCATAAGAATGTTTTCAAGAAAGTATTCTCTATTGTAGAAGGCATTTACTAGGATAAAGAAGAATACCATGCTATTTATATTTAATCAATTTGCAATTGAATAAAACCAATGAGCCACATACCTCATTTACTCCATATGAATTAGGAATGGATACAGTTAAGCCAATATAATAATCCAGGAAAAATTGTTCCTTATGTATTTGGGGGGATACATTTGTTCGAATACACCTTTAAGTCTGTAAAGCAGTTTCTGATAAGCTTACCATATCTATGTTAGACCTGAATCTTTGCTTAATGCCCACAAAAGTCACAATAGAAAGCAATGGTGAGGATTTATAGAGCTTAGTAATAATTATAAATACTTAGCAGGATAAGAAGGTGAAAAGAACTCCACAGGTTTCTTTTGAGACTTTCCACATACTAAGTTCCTTATTAACAACAGAATAAAAAAGAAATAACAAACTTAGATATTCTCCTCTCTCCCTGTCTCACAGCTAATTCAAAGTGAAGCTGTTAATTAACACTCAGAGTACAATCTCTAGTTACTGGATTAACTACAGAAGACTTGCTGTGGATTTTGAATTCTCTTGGGATATTTTTAAGTCTGGTGGTCAGTAATACTGCCATCTGTTTTGTGAGCTGATGGGTAGTTCTTACTGAAATCATTAAAACTTTGAAAACTACATTGCCTGCTACCAAGGTTCATAAAAAGAGGGTTTTTAAAAGGAAAATCTGCTTGTACTCTACTGTTCACATCAGAAACAACATTCAGTTATTTCTGTACCTCCCACATATGTCATCGGTAAACAGCTGGTCTGGGAAAGCAAAATGAACAACCTGCCTATGCAGATCACATAAACTAAATGAAAGTTGCTGCTATAGGTCTTCATGTTACAGAAACTTTCCAGCAAATAGAAGTCTTGAAATAACACTTGTTCTAAAAAAAAAAAAAGTCATAAAATTTTATCTGATGCAGGAAAAATAATTGATCAGAATTTGCTGCTGCTGTTAACTTGGCATTCTCTGTAGCCTGAAAGGCATTCCACTCTCTATAGAAATAAAACCTGATTTCATTGGGAATACTGTTAAACACATGCCAAGAATTGCCCTAAGGGGGGAAAAATACCAAAATGTGGACTAATTTGTAGATTACTCAGTCCTCTCTTATTCTGAAATAGATGTCTTTTCATTTCTTTTTAAAACCCCATAGGATGAGGTTGTTTTCCATCTGTATTGCTGGCAGGAATCAGGCAGACTTGCTGAGACTCAAATAATTTCCAGACAGATTTGCATGCAGCATTTAATTTAGTATTTTCAATCAATAGAATTGTCAAGATCTGGCTGATGGTCCCTTTAACTACAATTAGTTCAAACCATGTGCTCTTTGGCTTGGAATTCTTTGTCTCTCTACTTCATTTCATGTATTTTTCAGTGATCTCAATGCTCTCCTACTTTTTTCATCTTAGGACTTGTTCCTCAGCTGCTGTCTGTGGTAAACATTTTGGCATATATCAGTTTAGAGTAGATAACTGTATTTTAATTATGTACTGTGCCACGAAGGTGTTGTTTCTGTACTTCCTCTGAATTCAAATTTGGTTTATGGCCAAAGAATAAATTACTTTGGATTTTAAGAAACGAAATCTTTTAAAAGTCTCCTAAGGTTCAAAGGGGTTATGTTTCTCAGTTGATTCATATTTATTACCTATGTATTGGTGTTTGTCAGTCAGGAAAATAAACTGATATTTTAACCATGGAGAAGCAGAAAACACAAAAAGGTGAAAGATTATTCTGTAGTCCCAAAGAGGGATGATCCTGTTCTTATGATTATGAGCAGTTATGAGGAAAACTGCCTGACATCCTCTGTACTGAGCAAATCTAGAGAACTGGCTGAAGGGGTAAAAACATACAGGAATTATAGGAATTTAATACTTTTAACATGCAGAAATGTTAACATTTTTAGCCTGGATTGGTATTTCATGAGATAACAGAGAGATATCTAGGAATTAACATAGGCTAAGAAAAATAGTAACAGACACTCAGAAAAGTGTAATATTCAGTTCTCTAACCATAGGGATTTTTAGTATATCTGTCACTCAAAATATGATTTTTTTTTATTTGCATCATGCTTGAAAAAATATACCTTATGGACTGCTAAATTAGAGGAAGAACATCAATCGTGAGCTGCTCAGTAATGCAGCAGCTACTAAATGGCTGTCTTAGATCTTCGGCCCAGTATGTTGTTTTCAGGTTCCACTTGCAGGAATGAAATATGTCTTTTCTGGTGTATTATATGTCAGTACCACTGCTGCAGTGTGAACATACTTTCCCACCTTCACTAGAGAAAGATCTCTGAAGCTGTGTTATACCAGCTGGTGTGCACAGTGCCCACTGACATGACTGAGAGAACTGCTGGTGAACACAATCTGACTGCACATGAAAAAAGAGAAATGAAAGTGATTATTTTCTTTTCTCCTCTTTACTCTGTCCCTGCTTGGAGATTAGTTTTGGATCTCACCTTCAAAAACTTAGTTATCAAAAGCATACATATTTTAGATTCCATTTGTGCAGAGCAGGAAAGTTGCTCTCAGTACATTTCCACTCAGGAGAGCTTTGCAATTTCCCTGATACCAAATCCCTGAATGTATTGATCACCTCTGAACCTGATCCTTTTCATCTTCTGGGTGAAAAGCTAACCTTATTTTTCCTAAGGCAATTTCATCTAGTACACGTATATGTGCCATTAATATCAGCAGCTCACAAGTGTATTCTTGTGAGATTACACTACTAACTATTAAGTAGAGATAAAGACAGAGCAGCTAAATATTTATTCTTTAACAAGTTTTTTTTTTCCCTAATCTGTCAGATAAAATTCCTAAAAGTCAATGCTTGTGCAGCAAGAGTCAAGATACCAATTTAAGACACTTTAGGTCAAATATAGTAGAAGAATTGTTATAGCTAACTGTTTGTTATACTTGTGTAAACTATGAATACTAGAGAGACCTTCTCAGGAAGACAAGTTTTGTAACTAAATTCTTATGTTTATTGGTTTTGTCCTGAAACCATGAAGTTTACTTCTTCATTTATAGCCTGTATCCATTGTTTATGTGATAGACCTTATTCCTTTGGTTACTTTTGCGTGCAGTGCTCCCACATTGCAGTTGCTTCCTGTAATGCTTCTTCAAACTCTGACTTTGAAGGGTCTTAAAAACACTGCCTAGCTTCACTGAAATCAGAAAGGAAGAACTGTTGCAAAACTTTTGTCTGGTTTACAAATTTCTAGGACTTACTGTGTAACAGACACACCATTATAAAAAACATTGCTGTATCCTCATACTTCAATAGTAGAACACTAATTTCACTGTTATTTCCAGAATCCAAATGCTTAGACAATAAATGTTTGTCTGTTCCTGTGCAAATCCTATTTAACTTAGGTGTTGATACCCCACCAAGTGAGTATAGAGAACAGTAACCCGCAGGGTTAGGTATACTGCTATGACACGGCAGCAGACATCACTGTTCGTACCCCTAGAGCTGATTAAAGGGGTAGGCCATACACTTCATAAGGCCATGCATTGCAATGTACATCTGTCCTCATGGCAGTTTCATCATACTAGAGTTAGTTCTCCAAACAACAGTGAACTTGGAGGAGATCCAAGACTCCCTTTAGTTATCATACAGCCTTTTTTTTTTTCTTTTCCAAGTATTTTACCTTCTGTGCTCAGAGGTTTCCTTTCATTTCTCCCCCCCCCCCCCCCCCCCCCCGAATTACAAATCATTGACAAGCTGGATGAAGTAGGAAGAAAAGAACTTGGAAGAGGTCTTGTCTATTGAGTATTGTTGGGAAGATGACTAGCAAATGCTAGTTGTGTCCTGAGGAGGTCTTTGAATTTGTTTTTAATGCCATAAATGTGAAGCTGGAGAATGTTAGACAATCTTCTCCTGTGAAAACTTTTATTTGAAATCAATATATACCCATGGCATTTTTTTTTGTCACTTAACTGGACTTTTGCAACCAATTCTACTCATGTAAGAAATTGTGTGTTCCTTTTCCCCATGTCTTCTCCCAGCCCATTTGATACATCTCTGATTTGTTGATCTTTTCTTTTTAATTCTTTCAGGTGTGATGGGCAGCAACATTTCCTCAAATTTTAACCTTTGGAGTTATTGCTGCCCTATGCCAAAGTATCCTTAAACCAGATAATATCACTTTTGAGCTTTCTTTGAGAGGCTGCTAGTGTTGGAAGGGAGGCATTTTATGGGATTAAATAGAAAATCAATAGGATAAACAATCCTTTAGCTAGCATGTTTATTTTTATTTCCTGATTGTATCTCTCTTTCTGCGAATTGCCTGAGGCAGAAAATGTGAATCTCTAAGATTAACTTTCCAGTGTGTGGCAAAGAATAGACAATTAGAATTCTTGTGAAAAATTTTTGGAAGACCTAAAGCTTAGAAGTTATGGGGCAGAAACATAAATCTTGAGTATCAAGTCTGAATCTAGTATGCTATGTAGATACCATTCATATTAAGTTTGTGTGTGGAACCCAAAGGCAGTGTAATTTTGAGAAGTCAGAAAGATTCTGGAACGAAAGGCTGAGCAGGAAGAAACCAGCCAGATGCTTATTTCCTATCTGTAGCTTTAACACAGCGCTCTCAGAGGTACAAAGCTCATCATGGTCTTGACAGTCACTGCAATAACTGCTAATTTCTTACTGTGTGTTTAGAACCATAGAACCCTGTTTTCATTCAAGCCTTTTCTTGGAAGCCTTTTCAAAATTCTTTATGAATCTAAAGAAGGGGGGGGGAGACGTAGGGTATTTGTCTCAGGGCTTTTATTTTTTGACTTATTTTCCACCATGTGCAGAACATTTTTTTCATGACTGAGTACTTTTCTTCGCTACAAAGGTTTAGCAGTAAAAAAGCCAACTATTTCAAAATCAGTCATTTATTAGGCAATGCTTGGCTTGCTTTATTTGCTCTGTACATGAAAAGCTCTCATACTGTTTATATTTCTTCAATGAAACATTCTGCAAGCCTCAGGTAGGTACTCACAAATTCAGCGTATTCATTATGTGTGACCTTATACTCAAGCTGTTGTAATGGGTCACCTGAGTCACATTGTTCCACTTTTATTGTTCCAGTTCCATGATTGGATGCTACAAACTGTATATGTTGCTTTTCCAAAAATGAGTTTTGTTTGGGGACTCATTCTGTTATCCATACTCAGTAAAATCAGCTGCTGCAACTGCACTAGTGGGGGGCTGTACTTGTGCCAGGGACTCCGTCAGGGAGTCAAGACTTGCCAGGTCAGGTAGAGAAATGCAATAATTAGCTTTGAGCCTAAATCTGGTTCTTAAGCTTCTGCTATAGCACAGGGGAGAGATGCCCAGCAAGGAATGACTTGAAAGTAATCACAGCCATGTCACCAAGTCTCCTCACAGCAAACTGTGATTCAGGGTCTCAGCAGCAGTGCTGCGCCCAGAACCATAACAGCCCCAAGGATCAATGGGGCTTACACATGTTGTCAAAATGGAGACATGGTGACCGCTTCCCATGGGTGGCTGTGGCTGTTGTTTGGATCTGCTATTATAAGTAATTATTGTCTCAAATTTTGATCAGCAGTGCTTGGTATCATTTACAAATGTATCATGAGTCAGAATGAACCCTGAGGAGAACTATGACTTTTTTAAACTTAAAGAAACCATTTGGGAAATATTATTTCAGTCTGATTACTTAAGGAAAAATCCCCACTTTTCTATATATAAGAAGAAATTATGTATTCTTTGCTTAAAATCTGTTTAACATAGTACCTATTTAATATTCTTCATGTCAAATTTTACCATCCTTGTAAAGACTGAGGCTGAGCTCCTCCATGTCCTCTTACATTTATCACTCCATCCTAATTCACAGCAGGCAGCGGCTCTTGGATTCTGTTGAAATACTGACAAAAACCTCACTCATTTCCAAATTTAACAATGGATATTGTTTGATGGAGTAACTTGGGCAGTTAGAATGCTAAATGATTACTAACACTTAATCAGAGTGAATAGCCAAATGTGTGACGGGGCTTTGGAAAAAAAGAAGAAAAAAGTATAAGAGCATTTTTACAGATTTCTTTTAAAACAGTGTTGTCAAAACATCCACAGTAAGAGCTTATAGTTTGGGTATCCTACTTCAAGATGGAATCCATGTATTCCTTCTTTAAGAGTAGAGCCAATCTCTTTTAGCTCCTTCTTTTATAAACTGTATATTGTCTTAATAGGCTAGGCCTGAATTCAGGAAACCTATTTTCTACTTCCATCTCTTTCACCAGCCTTCAACTTTCATTGAAATTATTGGAAACCAGAGAAACATGCACTTCTACTCTTTCTATTGATTATTCTTTTCTTGCAGACATGGGATATACTGGGTTGGAGAGGATTTTGGACAGAATCAATACAATATTTTTATGACAGCAGATAATCTTCCTCTTGTGCCTCTTCTCACCCATTTGTAAAAAACTTAAAATGATCAAGATCTCTATTGTAAAGTGCTTTGATATATGTGAACAGATGGCAGTTACAAGAGAACTGGGTTTTTTTATTACTTATTTAAAAAAAAATATATAAAATAAGAAAATGATTTCTCTACAGAAAGATCTACAATGCTTCTAGCCCTAAATCTTTCTGCATTAGTCTTCATATAACCAAAAATTTTCTATTTAATCATGACTGTCCCATTTAGTTTTCTTCTAAGCTCGGTTTTCTAATGGTATAATTCCAAGGTGTTTCCCCCAAATACTAGTTAATATTTAGTAATCTCTTTTTTCCCTTAAGAGTCTGCAATTTCTGAAGTTCTTACCTTCTAGTGGCCAAATGTTTTATGTTTTTGTTACATACACCTGGTAGCCAGACGAAAGTTGTAAAGTGTTATTACCATTTATGCAAAACCTCTACCATTTTATTGTGATGTACTTAAAGAAGCTTTATTCCTTTTGGAATGCATCAGTAATATTCCTTATGGGTGATCCAGTGAAGCAGATAGCTAATTTTCTTACTAGTTTAAGTCTTTGTTGAAATGGGACCTACATCTCCGTTAGTCCTCCATATTTTGTATTTACAGGTTTGTAATAATACCGTCCCTTGAAAATTTGCTTCTAATTGAGATAAATCCTTAAAAATGTTGGAGGAAGTAAAAAATACTGGAATCGTTTTTTACAGTTGTACACAATGTAGCAATATTTGCCTTTTCAGTGACATTACACCAGCTGTAAAAGATGTACAATAAATGCAAGTACTAAGAATAGATAAGAAGAAAAGACATTATTCACTTGGTGAGTTACCTACAAGCTTTTGTGAACAGGCAATCCAAAGACAGAAGAGTACAGTATATATTTGGTGAATTAATTTAATTACATTTTTCAATAGATTTTGTCGATGATGTAAATTATGGAATAAATAAGTAGAAATTTGCCATTGTTTTTGAGGCTAATCACTGAAAAATGCATTATCCCAATAATTTACTCAAAATACATTACCACGTCAGTTAAATTTATCGACATTTCAATTAAAAATTCAATTCTTGAAGTCTTACATTATGAACACAAAGATAAATAGCCTTCTAAACTGATATAGTGATTTTTATTATGTGTACTCTCTTTTTGTGCATGAAACATGCTTCAGAGAGATCATGCACATTTGTTTTTAACAAACAGGTTTTTTAACTATCTGTCTGAAAAATACAAGTAAGGTGAAAATTCTTAAATGATGTAATCATACGCCAGTTAGAGGTGTCTATATATCTATAAAGATATTGACTGGTCAATGCATAGTGTGATATCTAATCTCTTATTTTGGGAAGCATCTCTGAATCTTTGCTTTGGTAGAAAAAACGGTGCTGCAAAGCTGCTCTCTGAAGAAGGAAACACTGAACCGGTGAACAACAATACAGGGATGTTCAGGCAGAGCAGGCACAGCAATAGCATTATTCACAGCATTCATTCAGTGCAGTATAGTGCGTTATCTTTTAGCATCTTTCATGGAATATTTATTTGCTGTAATGTTTCTCCAGAGAACGGTCTACTCTGTAGTAACTCCGAGAGTAACATCAAGTTTTTGTTTGATTTTTTTTTCCTTTTTTCCCCACTTCTTGCACTTTTTTTTTTTTTTGCCAGGATGGCCTTGTGACCTTTATGCACTCAGTATTATTTTGCATAAATGATGGAAGTGGAGTATTACATTTACAGTAGGTTTAGCCAGATAGAGATGACTGCTTAGACAGTCTATGAAAAACAAAAATCACTTCTAGGTCTTAGAGTGAGTTGTCTCCAGTGACGGCAGAGGGAGTCCGTGTAAGGTGGCTCTGAAATTAGCATGCGTCCTAACTAAATTTAGTCCTGTTTTAAATTTGCTTTGCAAACTAGGTGTACAGACAAATGTTCAGATCAAGAGCACAGATCTAGTTTGTGTCTCACACCTTTAATTAGCATGGATGTTGCTCATCACATCAGTCAACACAGCTCTTCCTCTTTGACAGCTTAAGCTTCTATCTCACTTGGAACTACAGGAAGACCTGTAACTTAGTACCATTTTACTCTCAATTGGGATTTTGGTTCTCTCTTTATGGGTTACTTCAGACTGGGCTTCCCAACAGTAGGCTAATTACTGTCTTTCAGACTTCTATCTAAGAAGTGTTATGTGTGGGGAAGATAGAGCTGGCTCTAAATCAAATTGTTACTCAAGAATATTTATACTTGTTATGTTATCCTCTTTTATCATGCTGCTTATTTCAATCAAAACACATTAATAAATAAAACAGAGCATGTGGGTATAAGCTATAAATTATAAGCATTTGAAAATATGAATTTGACAGTGCTGTGTCTTTTGGAAGGATCTGATTTTATTAGAGTATCAAAACCATAATGCATAAAAGGCATCATGAAAATGTAATTATTGCATTGCTTTTTATGAGGTCTAATTTGTTATAGACACATGTATGGAAAATTAGGTCCTTTAGGAATAAGGCAATATTGTTGAGTCCAAAGGTTTGTACTTCACAAAGCTATGGCACTGATTGTTTGGCAGTTTTTATGCAGGGAAAGGATGTGGAAAAATTAATCAGAATGTTACTAGCAAACTGGAAAAGCTGTGAAATAAGAACAGTTGGATGATAGTTGTCTGCTCTTTACCTGGACTTAAAACAGGAATATATCTATCTGATTC